CTATGAAAGTGAGTACAGCGAAGATGAAGACGACAAGAAAGATATGGATGAGAAGAAGGGGTCGAAGAAGGCCAATGGAACCGCGAAGAAGGAAGAGTCGAGTTCTGAAGAGTCGGGATCGGAGGAAGAGTAAAAGAGAAAGGAGCGTTACATTGATGAAAATACAATATAGTTTGTCTTTAAATCTTATTAGKGGAACTCGGCAACGCAGCTACGCAGAAAGACWTTGCCGAGTTTCCTAGTCTTTTCACAGTTTTGACACTCTCATTGGCTRTTTTTTCTTTTTCACGAAAAACCTATCTCACTACGGAGAAAAAACGCAACGAGAACATTATATACTGATACACAGCTAAACAGACTAATTTGTTGATTCCAAGGCTAATAATTCAATTCACTGCACTACTAGCAGAATTAAACGTAATAATAATTAACCAGAAATTGACGTTATGGGCCTTGTAAAAATGGGCTTTACAGTCGTCGTTTCAATGGGTGGAAGTAAGGAAGCCGCATGCCCTAAAAGGCGGGAAAATCAGAASAGCCGCGTCTTCTCCATTTCCGGAGAGTTTTCGCTTCCAAGCTTGCCGCGTTTTCCAAGCTCCGTCGCCGGTGCTGTGTCATCGGGAAGAAACAAAATGCCCATTTACAGCATCAGAGGAATCGATGTTGATTTCCCATTCGAGGCCTACCCTTCTCAGATCACTTACATGGACAGAGTTATCGAGTCTCTTCAAAACGTGGGTTTCCCTCTTTACACCGCAACTCTCCTAATGGTCTTCTCTTTTGTAGTTTCACTTAGTTGTTTCTGTCGAATTTGTACCGCTTTCTCGACTCTTTGACTCGCACTAGGGTTCCGCCTTCACTCGATTGGACTGTGCTTTTGTATTGATTCGACCATTTGGGTCCGACCTCTCTCGTCTTCTTCATCGATTTGTTCCAAAATTAAAGCTGAATTGAACACCCTTTAGTATACAATCACATTATTTTCTTTAGCTTGACGGGAAAAACGAATCATTTCCCTACTAGTCTGGTGATGGTTACTCTGTTTGCCTCTTCTGCCTGCAGAAATGTCATGCGCTTTTGGAGAGTCCTACTGGAACTGGGAAAACACTTTGTCTTCTTTGTGCTACCTTAGCCTGGAGAAAGAGTCTGGGCAACTTCTCTACCCGTAAGGATCGGAAGAACAGTGACTTTCCTTGGACAGATTCAGACGATCTAATGTCACAATCCGGAGGAGGTTTTCCTACCATAGTTTATGCGTCTCGAACTCATAGTCAGCTCCGCCAAGTGATCAAAGAACTCAAAAGATGTAGCTACAGGTTAGACCACATCCTGTGCGTGGCTTATTTGCYTTTACTTGTTAATCATCTCTTCTAATCTTTCTGTCTCTCTATATATTTAAGGCCGAAGATGGTGGTACTAGGATCACGAGAGCAATTATGCGTTAATGAAGAAGTGAAGTCACTCCGTGGAAAGGCTCTCACAAATGCTTGTCAGTACCTTTGCAAAAAGCGTGGAAAACGCCAATGTAACCATTTCAATGGGACTCCAGGTACTCTTCTTTTGTCCACACTACCACTGTGATTACCAATGTGATGTAGCATGACTTGTTTCTGAGATCTGGTGTCTATTGCCACATTTCAACATGAAACAGCAATAAAAAAACCTTCTTGTTTACGATTATTGTTTTGCCTTGCCATGAATCTGTTGTAGATTATTTGAAGCAGAACCCTCATATTGGCGACGAACCAGTTGACATAGAGGATTTGGTCAGTATTGGAAAAGATTCCGGACCGTAAGTTCCTCTATTTTTGCTACTTCAACATATTTGTTTCTTGTTATTCAGGTGTTGTCTTACATTTCTGGCTTGTTCCATCTGTARCTTATTTATATTTTGCAGATGCCCGTATTATATCACACGAGAGCTTCATAAGGACGTGGATATCTTATTTGCACCATACAACTACTTGATCGGCAATGCGTATAGAAAGTATTTGAAAGTCGATTGGAATAATAGCATCCTGATTTTTGATGAAGCTCACAACCTAGTAAGGGGAATAAAGATGTTCCACTTAMAATTTTCTTATGTGTTTACTGTTCATGTTGAAGTTTTCGTTTCTTGGGGATTTTTCTATTGTCCAGGTTATCCTATCTTGGAATGATTATACCACTTCCAACCTCTTGAAATACTTCAGTGTATCTTTAAATTTTGCGCAGGAAAGTTTATGCGCAGACTCAGCTTCATTTGACCTTCCTTCTGTGKTTTTATCGGCTTGCATTTCTGAAGCGCAAGAATGTGTAAAACTTGCTGCAGCACGAAGGGATTCGTTAAATGACGTGTCCATGAACCCTGAGAATTTTGCTATACTTAAAGGTTAAACTTGGGGCCTTGACTGAGAGTGCAATGTTCTGTTATAATTGAATGGAAATGACATGTCTGTTCTCATCTATGCGCTGTTTTTCTCTTGCAGGACTTCTTCTTAAGCTGCAAGAACTGATTAATAAAGTBCCAATTCTGAAAAAGGATGAGGGATTTACCAAGCCTGGGCCTTACATATATGAAATGCTTAAAAGCCTTAACATCACTCACGAAACTGCTCCTAAACTCATTGGTACAGTTGAGGAGGCTGCAGTGCTCCTCGAGGAGGAGAAACAACGAACAGCGACCAARGCTGGGACCAAACTAGAAATCATTGCTGACATTCTTAAACTGATCTTTAGAGAAAATGGAAGTAACCATGCAGATGTTTATCGTGTGAGTTTTAAGCAAACTGTTTTTTTTTATATTCCGTTTCCAATTTTATATTTAAGTTGTGATGTCTCATTTACAGAAACCCCCTTTTTTACTCATACCTTCACTTACAGTCTCAAGATTCGTCCTTTGTTAGGTTCATGTACAGGAGCTTGAGCAGAGTTCTACTGATGTCATAAAAGGTAAATAAGAGTGGGTTCGTCTATAGCTTTAAAWACATGAAGATGCTGCAGCCCCAAAGAAATAACAGAAGCATTCGTTTACTAGATTGAGAATATAAGAATCGTTCTTAATCTGCAAATTAGTCATAACTTTGGACAAAATAAATGATTTATCTGATCCATTTTGTAGGCAAAGCATCAAGAACGCTTAGTTGGTGGTGTTTCAATCCTGGAATTACCATGCAGGAAATAGCAAACAAAGGTGTTGGGTCTATCATTTTAACATCAGGGACCTTGTCTCCCATGGATTCATTGGCTCTAGAACTAAAACTGTGAGTACATCATTATGGTTTTCTTTCACTATGCTTCTCTACCTGCCTTTTTACCCAGATTTTAATGGAAATATCCCTTTCTGGAAATTGTAGAGACTTTCCTGTTCGGTTGGAGAATCCCCATGTTATATCCTCAAATCAGCTYTGGGCTGGAGTTGTAAGTTCTGGTCCATCAGGGCGCGTTCTTAATTCTAGCTACCAAAATCGTGATGTACRGGAGTACAAACAAGAACTTGGGAATGCTATTGGTAAGTAGTTTGTTATTTGGTAGTCCACTTCYGATGGCCTGYATATTATTATAAATTTCTGATGTGTGAACAGAGGTCTAGAATTCGAGTTCGTCTGAACAGCGATGCTGCTATTCCGATAGTTATAATTGATTATTATATGTTGTAACTCTGCAGTTAACTTTTCTCGAGTAGTGCCTGATGGACTGCTTATATTTTTCCCTTCCTATTACCTTATGGACCGATGCATAGCATTCTGGAAAGATG